GTGAGAAGTGGCCCCGGCCGGGGGTACCCGAGCTGCTTCGCCGCCCTGGGCTGCTGCTGGGCGTGAGGTTCCGAGCCGCGGCGCAGCGCTCGTTCCGGCTGCCTTGGGCTGGGCAGGGCTTGGGACTCTCTCCTTGCACGAGTGAAGGAGCAGAGTCAGCTCTCGGCGCTGCTGGTGCGCCCCACGTGGGTCACGGGCGCTGTGCTGGGCGGATCCGCAAGGATTGTCCCCGGCCGCGCACAGGCTGCTCAGCCGCAGTTCCCTCGGCCTTTGGCTGTGAGTAAATTCGCTCCTGTGGGAAGTGCTGCCTGAGTGTGCCAGTTCGAGGCACAAGGTGGAACGTCATGGCTCCGTTTTGGCTTTCTCGTGGCTCAGTAAGTTGAGTTTGTTCTTGTTTCTGAGCTTATTGCCGCATTAAGATTTACTGTATAAGCTTGGAGCAACAACAACAGCAGCAATGGAGGGTAGGTTTGTGTGTTTAACACTGAGGTGCTGCTGAGCAGTTTGTCTCATGCAAATATGTGTTTGCAAATTTTGTCACACCAATCTTGGCAGTGTTCAAAGCCAGGCTGGATGGAGCCTTTAGCAACCTGGTCTAGTGGGAGGTGTACCTGCCCAGGGCAGAGAGTTGTGACTAGATGATCTGTAAGGTCCATTTCAACTCTTAAAATTCTGTGATTCAAGTTGGGACTAAATCTGATCATGATTTCACTGAGCATTATGAAATCATTTTTGTTTAACTGAGAATGGGCTGTGGCTTTGGAAGCATAAAGTGATGTTAGCACAGCTCCTCAGGCCCCAAAGCATCGATTGTTTCAGGTTCTGTTCTGTCATCCCTTGCAGACTGGAGCCAGCAAAGGATATGCATTTATTGAGTTTGAGTCTGATGATGTGGCTAAGATTGTTGCAGACACCATGAACAACTACCTGTTTTCAGAGAGGCTGCTCAAGTGTAAGTACCAGCTGCACTGTAAGTCCTCCAAGACGCAAAGGAAATTCATAGTGATTTCTGCTGGGTTTTTTGACTGTTTGTAGAATCTTGGGGGTTTTTAATGAAGTTTTGTCCCAAAAAGATTTTCTGTGGGGCTGAGTTTTCCTTCCTTTACCTCGTGTGTAAAGAACATCCTGTGTTTTTTCCCTCCTCTGGGAAGAGAATGCTGTTTGTGTAATTGTGTGGCATGACATCTCAGGGATTTGCAGTAGACACAGTTCCATTAATGTGGAAACTCTTCATTTGTGACTATTGTAGCCTGTGAGGTTAGACATAAGGAGCTTTTTTGATTAAAAGGTCAGTGAAATCAGGGAGTTTCTCAGACATGGTGACAGTAACACTTACTGTGTAAAGGGTTATAACCTGTATGTTGGTGTAAACCAATTTTGTCTCGTTTCTCTGGGTGAAACTGGAAAGGTGTTCATTTCATCTGTCCATCCTCAGTTCTCCTACTGTTTGCCTATCCAGCTGCCTTCCCTTTCCTGTGCTCATCACGCCCTGCACAGCTGTGCCGTAGCAGTGCTGTGTGAGTGTTGGGTGAGCAGAGGAACTCTGCTGTGACCTGATGCCCTGTGTTTGTGCCACAGGTGAGTTCATGCCTCCTGAAAGGGTCCACGAGCACCTGTTCAAGGACTGCAAGAGACTGTTCCGGAAGCCTTCCCAGCCAGCAGTGCTGAGGTACAACCGTGTCCGCTCCCTCCTCCAGAAGGCCAGGATGGCCAAGCGGCTGCTGAGGAAGGAGAGGCTGTTAAGGAAGAGGCTGGCTGAGAAGGGGCTCGACTATGACTTCCCAGGATTTGTAAGTTTGGCATGGTTTCCACGAGTGTGTTATGTTGTGCTACAGACAAGAAAACGCTGTGTTCTCTGTGGAATGGTGAAAGAGTCCCAGGGAGGTTTCCTTGTCCAGGAAATCCATGTAGTGCTGTTTCTGAGTTGTACCCTGTACCTGTGGATTTGCTTGTAGAGAAGTAAATAAGTAACAGCAAAGGGAAGATGGTCTTTTTCTTCTGCTAGTAGAAACAATTGGATGTTCTCTGGTTCAATATTGGAGTGCAGATCACTGAAGAGCAGCAGAGGCTCTGCCCCAGCCCTATGAGAAGCTTTGGGTGGGGGTTTAAAGCAGGTCCCAAGACCAGAGCTGCTGTCCATAGCCACTGCTCACACTAACCAGGTATGTCACTCCTGTGCAGAGTGCTTGGGTCGGGAACCTGAGTTGTAGGCAGTGCAGTTTAGCATGGAATGTTTATTAAATGCACAACAGCAGCTTTTCTTGTGCTGCTTCGGGTGGTTTTGTTCGAACCAGATCACTTCTGTGTCAGTCATTTTATTACCTCAGATTTAGTTGCTGTTGCAAAGACTTTGTAATTATGAAACAAAGACACTATAGAGTGTTAAGTGACTGCAACTTCCACAAGGAAGTGTGTAGTGACCCACCTGATCTGTCTTGTTTTCTAGGCTGCACAGGAGCTTTGCATAAAGATGAAAAACATCAAAACATCCAAGAAAGCAAAACTGAATGTTTCTCTGAGCAGCCAGGTAAGAGGGACTGGTCCTGGTGGTGTCCAGTACCACACTCCAGCATTTACACTGGGGCAGATGTTTCAAGCCTGCAACTGACATCTTTGTACTGATTTCAATGCCCAAAAACCTTGAAGTTGTTTGCTTGAGAGATTTTTGTGGCAGAAGTAGCTCCTTTGAGATGTATTAACACTCTTGAATGTGGGAGGGTGGTGAAATCCTCTGGGTTCTTTGTCCTATGGGAGTATTCAGCAGCAAAGACCTCTGCTCAGCATGTTGTAACCAGTTCAGGCCATGAGGACTGAGATTTGAGATACTGACAGTCCATAAAGTCTGCTGGATTTACTTGTGATGATTGGGACGTGGCTGGTTGTGAGGAATCATGCATTCTTATCAGCTGAGTTCTGAGGACTTACTGAGATAACACAGCAGGGATGCTCCAGCTCTGCTGTGAGCCTGAATATGGCATTTCTGTATGCCAGTCACAAATATACTTCCCCCATGATTCTTGTCCTCTTGGCTTTCTTGGTGCTTTGAGTCATGAAATACAAAGTTTAGAAAGCAAAGGTGCATAGTGACATGTTAGAACATGTGAATTAACTTACATTTGCCTTTCACATACACTGTTTAACAGTAGCACTTTTGTCCAAAGAAATGATGTGTACAAAAATAGCTGGTTATGAAAAGAAAATAATTTTCCTTAACTTGTGGAAATTCTGAAGGAGAGCTGGACTGAGGTGCCCTGTGGTACCACAGGAGCAGCAACAATTTTCTCTGGCAGATGGCTTTGCAGTGAATCATGTTTTTCTGATCTCTTCAGGATCCTACTCCAGTCTGTACTCCAGCAGTGCTCAAGCACAGGAAAGCTACTCTGGTGGGTGATGATGCAGAGGATAATGAAGTAACTTTCAAACTTCCCCCTGCCAGTGTTAAGAATGCTATGCAGAAACCAAAAAAGCAGCGAAGGAAAAAAACAAACCTGAAGAAACAGAAACAGACTTAAAATTTTGGTGATTGTAGCCTTGGTTTTCCTCAACTTTTCCTCAGCTGTTGAGGTGGAGCTGGTTCTGGTGCCCTGGCTCAGCTCATCCTGACTACACTGCTTTAGTCTTTCCTAGTCAAGGACTCTGTACACAAGCCCTCCTCCTCTGGTTCGGCCATCAGGAGACCTGTGGTGGTCTCTGCCTTTGAAGATTTCCTCAACTTTGTGCTCACAAGTGCCCATGCTGTGACACACCTACAGTTGTGCCAGAACCTTCAGTGAATTCTCTAATTTGTCTTTAGTGCTCACTGTTTGGGAAGAGAACGTGAGGCTGTCCCTTCAGAGCCTGCTGATGCAGCTGTGTATTAGATTTCTAATTAATGATGGGTTATTAAAAAATTGACCATTTTTCAACTGTGTTGTCTCTTGGTAGTGGTTCTTCAGTTTAACTGAATGTGTTTCATGTGAGTTCTTGCATATTTACGTGGATGCAGGGAGGGATGTTTTTTCCCCAAGGAAAGTGTTCCATGAATTTCGTCTGTTTGTGACCAGTGAGGATCTGCCTGTAGTGTCCAGGGCAGAGGCAGAATATCACACTACCTGAGCCAAGCCAGTGCCTTTCAGCAATGCTTTCAGCAATGCCTAGGAAACTCAGCCTTTGCCAGGATGTGGAATAAGCTTGGAGTTGCAGAGGCCTTGGAAAGGACTGGAGGATGGTGAGAAGAGACTGAAGTCACTCCCATTCCTTTCCCTGTACAGGCAATAGATTTATGTCTGAGTGTACCCTACCATGGAGGACACAGGGTGACTGTGCTGTTGGCTGGAGGCTTAGTCAGCATCACTTTCATTCCTCCCCTACTTCACTCTGCAGAGGTCCCAGGTGTGCACCTGGTAACGTACTGTTTACCTCTGGGCTGCCCAGGCAAAGGTAACTTGCTAATTCTCTGAGGCTTTGTGTGCCATAAATGTGCTGTTGCCTGGTTCAGAAAATGTTCAAGGACCTGCAAAGTGAGGCTCCTGCAGGAGGGACATCTTGCTGAGCTGTCTGGCTGCTTTTAGAGGGACTTCTTGCTGAGCTGTGGAGAAGAGCAAGTAGTGACAACTAGCTTACCTAGAGCTATTCTCAGAGTGAGCAAGGCTCTCGGAGAATATGCATCAGTGAACAGAGTTCTATTAGTTGGGTTCTGTTGGCAGTTCTGTTGTCCATTGTCCCTGCAGCACCTTGTCCCTGCATTTTAGTTTCACTGCCTGCCTGAAGGAAGGGCATCTTCAGCTTCAGGAGGTGATAAGCACATTGCAATACTGTAACAAGTCTCTGGGTGGGTGAACCAGGAGTGGTAAGGCAGGTTTTTGTCACCAGTAGCACAAGTTCAGAGAACTGAGGGTAACTTTGTTGTGCATTAGGGTTTATTCTTGTTCCAGCTAGCTTGTCATAGCTGATGGCAGATACTCAGTCCTGTCTGAAAGGGCAGTCTGACCATGCAGTTAGAATTTGGATTTTACTGCAAATCTGGGATCCGTAGAAATTCCAGTTTGGGTTCTGTGGGAGATGCTTAGCCTCGATCTTTAATTGTCTGAGATTAAACACCCTCTAGTGCTGTTGGCTGCAGGTCAGGCTTGGCAGCAGGTTTCTGAGGAAAGCCCAGGTGATAATAACCAGTGCTCAGGTAGGTGGCTGGCACTAATTCCTTGGCTAATTTAAGACTCGGGGTCCTGGCAGAGGAGAAGAAATCTAAACCATTGGCCTGGCTAATTCTGACCTATCTGCCCTGATCACTTGATTAATCGTGTGATTATAATGACATTCTCTTGGTGACTCAAATTAGATCATTCTCCTTTGTTGCCCTGAACTGTCGAGGAAGCAGCTTGGATAAGTGAGTCTTTATATCAAACCTTTGTCACCTTGGGCCTGCCAGGGAAATCTATTCACCATCCCAGTGGTCACAGACACTCCTTGTAGCAGTGTTGCTGCATGCATCTGCAGGCTTTCCTGTGCATTGTTCTGTGTGAAACGGGCACTGCTTACACCTCAAACCTGTGGAAAATACATGCTCAGCTAAGGTTTGAGAAACACTTGGTCAGAATGTTTGGCAGAAACTGCTTCTCTGTTCGTAACAGCTCTGAAAATACCTCTGCGTCTACATCATGCAGCAGAGAGCGGCAGGAAAGATGCAAGAATGGACAGTTGTGTTTTAAAATTCATATTCTCAGCGTTGTGCTGGGCAAGTAGAGATGATTGTTCGGTCAGGCTGAGCTAGAGACGCGGCTGCAGTTTCTCCTGCGGTGCAGCCTGGCACCGGGGGGCAGCACGCCCCAGCTGTGCGGACACATGCTGCCTGCTGACACACGCGGCTCAAGGTTTCCTGGGAAACGACCTCCCGCGTTTACAAAGAAACCCGTCTCGTCCCGGCGGCTCCGAGTGCCTGACTGCGTTCGTCTGACTCACTCGTCTCTAACATGGTTTAAGAAGACTGGAGAAACCTGGTACGGATCTCAGTCAAATATGCCCATTCCGTTGGTGCTGCCACAAGTGCTCCTTCCCAGGCTGTCGAATTAAAGCTGCTTGTAAGACAGCTTAGTTTATTTAGAGTCATTTCTCCAGTGCAGTCCATGTTTATCAAAGCCTGAACGTCTCCCTTCCTGTGCTTCCCATCCCCTTGGCCTGCATATTGAATATGAAGTTGCTTCCTTCCTACCCTGTTACTCTCTATGCCCAGTGTTCTGCCCCTGCCTGTGTCCCCTTGCTGCTTTTTTCTGTGTTTGACCCAGTGGCTACTTTTCATGCTGCCTGCCATGCCTGGCTGCATGAGCTTCCAGGGACTTTGGTTTCTGCAGGTCTCCTGGAAAGGTTTGTGCCTTTAAGCCAACACTCTAGCTGCTGCTGGCTCTCCATATCCACACAGCAGTGTGAGCCTTGATGGGAAGACGTTCAAGAAAGCTGTGCTTACAATAAGGTTTGCTTCCTGTCGTAATTTTCCTTTCCCTTCCTTTTGTTTGTTCATCTTCCTTCAATTGAGATCAGCTTAGTTGGCAGTTCTGAGAAACGAGGAAACAAAATTCTGTGTTGTTTGAGCAAAACACAACAATGCTCAGGCTACAGCAGGGAGCTCTCAGCAGAAGGGCAGCTTTTCTTGGTGATAGTTTCTGTTTTTAGGCTGCCTGTGTTATTAATATACTGCTGTCCAGGGAGATGTACGTAAGCAGAAATTCAGACACCTGATACTTGCCAAACATAGTTTCCATAGCAAGTGGACAGACGTGCTGTGTCATGAGTTATGCCCTAGTCCTTGCACTGATTTTTATTTCTCAGATTTCCAGTCATTTTGTTCATTCATTTTGGAGAAGCACAAACCTCCTGGCCACTGATTTTAGGGCAGGCTCTGGACTGTTTTTCCTGAGATGCTCGGAGTGTTGGGACTTTGGTTTCCAGGCATGACTTGCAAGTGTTCTGCCTTTCAGTAATGAATGACTCTGTGGAGCTGTTTTGCTGAACACCTAGGTATGTGTCACTGTTTTCAAGCTTCAGGAACACTTTGGTGCTGGCAAAGTCTGTCAATTTACAGTCCTTTATTTCGATTTCTCTCTTTTGCAGAGAGGGGAGCTGGGCTTAGAAGTGCACAGCATTTCCCAGCACATGAAGTACTGGAAGTAAAAGAAGGATGAGGTGTGGGGGGGAAAAGCAGAATACAGGGGAGAATTATGAAGCCAATGCTCCCCTCACAAGAAAAAGGCATTGGTGCATTTGGCAGTGTTAGACTGCTCAAAATGAAAGATGAAGTTTTATGCTTTCTTACTTGTTTTGCCTGTTAGTGTGCTGCAACCATGGTCCAAGTGCTAGTTCATGCTCATGAGCCAAGTGGAGGAGGAGATCAGGCTGGGCAAGTGACACTTGCTCTTGCCAGTACCAAGCCTGTTTGCTTGCATACCTGGCATTTAAAATGGCTGAGGCCTGAGGAGCAAGGCTAAAACCTGTCTGCAAATAGCTCATGGTGCAGGGGAGGACTTGGGCATGGCTCTGAGGGGTGACATGCTCTCCTCTACAAGTACCACACCAGGAAGGCAGAGGGTAGCTCTAACAAATTCCTCCTCTCCCTGCTTTCCCTTCAGAGTGCTGGGATGTTTGTCTCTCACTGTGCTGTGTGATGCAGCCAGCCAGGGTAGGGCTGTGCTGGGTGAGGTGCTGTGCACATCCATGCCCTGGGCAGGACAGCAGGGTGTTGCAAGGTGAAAGCTGGGCAAGCAGGTAACAGGAGTACAGTGGATGTAATCTCCATTACATGTTTTCCAGGAATACCCACAAGTCCTCTTGGATCAGACTCCTTCATTGTCCAAGATGCTGTTTAAACACATCCTGTTTTCCTGAGTTTGCAATCCAACCCCCAAAGTCTTGAAATGTCCAGCTCCAGGTAGCAATAATCTATCTGCACCTTCTTAGCCAGAGATATGTTTGGGATCACCCCAGGGTGCTGTTGGAACTGATGCTGGTGGGGAGATCATGCTGTGCCAGGCTGCTGGCTGGCACTGCTAATGCAGCCACATCCCTCCCTGGCCAGGGCCAGCAGCTGTCAGAGCAAGCTGAGGAAGTGGTTAACTGTGTGAGTGAGAATTCCTGAAGTGAAACACTTTCTCCCATGCAGGGTGCAGCAAGGCTTCTCCCACCCAGCATTAATTAAGCATATGGCAAGGGACAAAGATTTTGGCTCTCCTGGGAGGCTTGGACCAGTTACACACCTGTGTGTGTGTGTGTGGCCAGTAACCATGTGGCTCTCCTGAACTGGGAAAGGATAAGCTACAGACAAGCTCTTGCATGAGTCTGAGCTCCAATAGAGGAAGAAAATGCTGGTTTGTAAATGTCTTCAAATGAAGAGAGCAGGCAGGATTGGGAGGATGAATACTGCAGGACCTTGAGAGTGAGGTGGGTGTCTCCAGTGAGCCACAGGCACTGGGGTCACTTCCTTTCCCTCCCTGGCTGCACATTTGACCCTGCACTTGACCCATCACATAGAGTCTAGGGCCTGGCT